CATCCATCATGACTTACTTTCAGGAATCCAGCAAAGAGTAATGATTTGCAGGTTTATGTAAAGAGCAGCAAAATGAAGACTATACCAAAGTGACTTTATAAAAACCAGTATGAACTAGTTCTAGTTGTCACTGTAAAATGTAGGTGTTAAAGAAGATACTTCTATGCTGATTGCCAACAGTGGCAGAACAATCTATTGATATCATCATGTCAGAGTAGACTAACCTACATTTTAGGAATTGTCTGTTTAATGTCTGCTGATTAAACATCATCATAAACAGTAGATATATAAAGTCAGGGGATACATGAAGCAATTAAGTGTGCCTTCCTCTTTGTTACTTAAGGGTTGCAACCACGAGGATTTCTCTACTGAGAGAAGCTGCTGCTTTCCAGTGGTGAACTGGTGCAGAAGGAGCAAAGTGGAGGATGTGACTGCACTAATTTGGTGTCAGAATGTTGGGGTGATGCCTCCAGATCTGTCCTGCAATAAACACTGCAAAAAGAATCAAATTTCTTTCTGAGCTTGGGCAGAGAAGCGAGAGTCTGCACTGAAAGCTGTTCCATACTGCTGACAACACATGGAAAGAGAAGTAATAGAAGTAAATTGAGATGTTAATAAAGAAGGCAGGAGATAATTTAAAAGCACTAGTAGAGCACACTTAAGAATGGTAGTTATATTTACTAAAATGGTACTATGTTTACACATTAAAAGCACACTTAAGAATGGTAGTTATGTTTACTTTCCACATCTCTATTTTTGTTTTTCTTCTTCTCTTTCACAAATTCATTTGCTCTCTTCTGCCTTCTGCACTGGAATTCAGGTGTGATTTTCACCTACAGAAGTTAGTGCTGGCAGAACAGGGAGCTGGGATGCTGTGTGTGTCACAGGTGATGTACACCCCCGAGGGGTGAGAAAGCACAGTGTACAACGTGTTCCATGGCCAGGCTCCAGACCAGCAAGCATGCCAGCCCTGGCTGCCCTGGGTTTGCAGCCTGGGGTGCCTGTGAGGCCGGGCTGTGAGGAGGATTTGCCCAGGAGGGCGCTGGGGCAGCAGGGTGACCTCGTCCCCGGCGCCGTGACGCTGAAGCGCAGCAGCAGGTGCTGGGGCTGGGCCCTGGAGCTCCTGCCCTGCAGAGCCAGGCTCCTGCACAGACCTGCCAGCAGGGACCCCAAAGGGAGGGAAACACCCCTGGACACACCATGGTAAGGGAATGGGGGAGCCCCGGGCACACGGGGACGGGGAGGGCTGTGGGGTCTGCTGTTGTTATCAGTGGGTTTTGCCACCAAACCCTGATCTCACACACCACTCACCACGTAAGGAAATGGGAAAGGAGTGCAGAAAATCTCACTGAAGCATTACTGCATTAAGTTTCTTCAGAGAGTCCTTAAATAGTGAGACAGAGTAGAGATCCATTCTGAATTAGGTGAATATTCTCACAATAGTGAGATAATATAAGTGAGATTTATAAGTTAAATTACATGTGGAGTCTTAGTTGCTTGGTTCTTTCTGTTGTGACCACATTTTCCCAACACCACTTCATTTTCATATGAGACAATTTTTTATAGAAATAAACCAAAAAAGTTATTTATCTTTGTGTCTGTTTTAAATTAATTTAGCCCCAATGGCTATACTGTCCACAGCTATACAGGGTATGCATGTGTGTTTCTGGAGTCTATTAATTCTTTTATATATGTATGTATTTAAGTAAGTGAAAAAATGCCCTTTGTTTTTAAGTTTTAGTGGTTTATTATAAATTCATAGAAATCTCTCAAAATCACTTAGAATGTGAAAAAATCCATTTCACCTTGTACCCCAGTGTATCTCTAGCACGGAGTCTAATTTTGGTGCAGAGGAAGAGCCATGTTACTTTCTGCCAGCTCATCTCACAGGCAAAATACTTCCACGGGCTTCCCAGACCTGGGGAAGTGAGCGAGTTTGTGGAACAGCTGGAGGACTAAAGTGTCCCTTTTGCAGTAAATCCTGGAGCCAGTTTGGTTTTTTAAGAGCCAAAGCTGTCCCAGGTGTAGTTTCACAAAGGGTCTGGTCCTTTCTACTGTTTCTTCGTTAAACCTTTCCTGGGTCTACAGACATTTAAGTGGTGGGATGTGAAACATGAGTTTGGAAATGGCTCCAAATTAAAATATCATGTAAAGATCAGTTTACTCTGGCTGTGAGGCTGAAGAAGGCCCACCCTCTTCCCTGCTAAAAGTCTGGCATCTATTTTAATGCTGTTCACTATGCAAAGTCAGAAACCTGTTTCTCACTGTCTTCTCTCTTTGCCAGAATATTTCCAAATTACTGCTGGGGAAGGAGAAGATGAAATAGCTCAAAAAGCAGGCTTGAGATGTGGTTTCAAACTAGTGCAGCTGAAAACAGTCTGAAAAGTCTTAAACTGCAGTCCTGTATGAAGTTTTTTATACTAACTTCCTCAGGCAGCACTTACTTGTTCTATCTGTGAAAAACAGACCAATTCCTCTACAGACCTGAAGAAATGAGCAGAGCAATTCTTATTTTAAAACACTGCTTGGCTTGTAATTGTAGTTTTGCTTTAAAATATATTATTTTTAAAAGCCAGCTGCCTCATTGTTGTGTGTGAAAAGAAAAGAAACCCTTATTTTTCTTGCTGCTTGCCAGCCTCAGAGATTCTCACTGGGATTTGAAAGAAAAGGCAGAAACCTGCCCTGTGGAAAGCCAGCATTAATTGAATTTTCTAAGCCCAAATATGCCTTTGGTGTCTCCTGAGTAATCCTCCAGATTGCAACACAGTGACTTATGAAGCCCCACTGTCACTCAAATCACTCAGAGACTTTTGCACAACTCAGTTGGCAAAAACCAGGGTTATGCAAGTACACTTGAGAGCACATGCATTTGCAGAGTCAGCAAAAATTCTCAGCTTGGAAATTAGTACTGAATAGAAATGATTTATTTCATTGAATAAAAGCTTTAAAAAGATTTAAAAGATTTAAATGTTCATGTTCATTTGAACTTCTGGGGATGACTAGCTGGGGCAGTGCTGACTTTTGAAATTCCAGTTGTTTCTGAAAAATGTTTTCAGTTATGTTTCTCAAACACAAATATATGTCAATTTGTGAAGAAAACACTTCTCCAGAGATGTTGCTGGTCACATATTGTGACTGAAAATTTAGTTTTTGGGGAGGATACATTTAATTCTCAGGTCACAGAATGATTTTGCTGGGTAAGCAGCTACAGAATTTAATTTAAAAAATATTAACTGGTCAAATCTGATAGTGCCATTGGTTATCTCTAAATGCAGTATTACAAAACAAGGATGAGTGAGGACCATCCTCTGCCCTTAAAGCCAGGGCTGCTTCACAGCTGGGCATCTCAGTTCTTCTTCCCTCTCCAAAGCCTGGCAGTGGTCAGTGAGCTGCTCACTGGAAACCATTCTGGACAATGAGTTGTTCTCTGCATTGTCTGGATAAATATTATCTGGCCTAAGCCAAAACTGTGCCATTTTTTTCCAATTATCAATCAGCACAGGAGATCACAGGCCAGTTTTCAGTACTATGACATATTTTTACTCCCTAGTACAGACAGGGCCCTGGGGATCACAAAACCAGAGCTCAGGCAGCTTTAATTGCTCCAGAACAGAAAACAAACCTGAAACAATCCACATGCCTGAAACCATTCCCTCCTCAAAAAAATGCCTTTCACTACACCCAGTGTTGCAACTGCTGGGACTGACCCAGAAGTATTTGCTTTATAATTCTGCTTGTGAACTTATGAAATCCAGCAGCAGGGTCCTCATGCTTCTGCACTTTTAAGTGTACAGGATTTTGGAGCAATTGACACCTGCCTACTTTAGGCTGGTGTTACACAGTTTTCTCTTCCTGGCTGCCAGAGAAAGAACACTGGAAATCATGAAAATACACTTCACTGCAATGGCACTGACAAGCCATGGAGTAAAATTGTGTTGTAAAATTAATCGCTGCTCAGGAGCTGGAAGGAAAATTTATTTTGACCAAGAAAATCTGGAATAATTTCCTTAGGTGAAAGCAGCTCTTCCAAGTTTCCACGCTAGCCTGCTATCAGAGGGTAGAAGGATCAAAAGACATGATCTGCCTTGGGTTACATAAGGGTGAGGGAAGCCACATGGCTGTGTCAGGTTCCAGCCAGGATAAAAATAAACTAAACTGGGATGTGCTCCTCAGCAGGGCCAGTCCAGGAAGAGAGGTGGGGTTTGAGTAATTGAAATTTATTTTTCCTGACTGTTTTAATGTACTTCTGTAGTACAGCACACACATCTCAATTTTTTAAAGAACTGTCCTGTCACTGTGATATTTTCTGAAAAATCCCCTTTGCCCAGGATTCTTCTGCTGGGAAGCTGAGAAGCCTCAGAGAAAAATGAAAACAATATTATCTCATTTGCTTCTCCTGTGGTTTTTCTGCTTTGGAATGTGGTTGGAGATTGTTTATCCAACATGTGAATTGTTTTGATTTAATGACAAATCACAGGCTGTGTCAGACTCTGAGGAGAGAGTAATGAGGTTTTGGTTAGTATCTCGTTTAGTCTTCTGTAAGAATCCTTTCTCTATTCTTTAGTGTAGTTTTAGTATAGCATAATATAATATAATATAATATAATATAATATAATATAATATAATATAATATAATATAATATAATATAATATAATATTCTTTTAAGAACATAGAGTCAGATTCATCATTTGCACCCTTCATTGGGGGGCCCCAAAAATACCAAACTGTCCCAGTGTCTGGTATGTGCAGTCCCATTGTGGTCACGGGGCTGATAAACCAAACAAACAGCTGACAGTGACAATTCACTGACCTTTTGGAAAAGCAATGCACTGGGGAAAGGTGACCACCAGGAATAGGGAGGGCTAAGGCACACTGATTTTCCTGACCCTGCCTCTCCTCTCTGCCCTCAGCGTGAGTGCATCTCTGTGCACGTGGGCCAGGCTGGAGTGCAGATAGGAAATGCGTGCTGGGAACTCTTCTGCCTGGAGCACGGCATCCAGCCCGATGGCACCTTCAAGGACCTGCAGGACAGACTCAGCTCTGATGACTCCTTCACCACGTTTTTCAACGAAACAGCCACTGGGAAGCACGTGCCACGGGCTGTCATGGTGGACTTGGAGCCAACTGTGGTAGGTCAGTATAGAAACAAACCTGCAACATGGAGATGAGATTGCTTCTCCTCACATCACCTCATATCTCCACTGGCACAAAGTGGCCCTTTGCAGCTCAGGCTACCACCAGGTAGCAAGAAATCAATTTTCTTGTGACACAGGATGCCTGATTCTGTCACAGGTCCTACAAACATAGGAACAGGAGGATCCCCAGCAGTTTAATGGCTGGTACACGTGGTGTGTACATCTTCTCTTTGCATCAATATTTAACTTTTGGGTTTGTTTATCATGACATTTTTGCCATTCAGATTCTGCTTTTCTTCTGTTTGGATTCAAAGTGGGAGCCTGACCGCTTCCCTCCAGTAAAGAAGAATGTCTAAAAATTGGGACACCTGAATTTCTTCACACTGTTTTTTTCTGGGGACTTGTGGATACAGACTGTACTTGTCACTGACAAGCTCATGAGAAGATAAGTGGCTGGACTGAAGATGCACAATAAATCAAACAAATGCAACAATGAAAAAATGCTCCAGAGACATTTCTCTTCTCCATCAGCATCTGTCTTTTGGCATCATGAGCTCCTAATGCCAACAACAACCAGAATTTCTTGACACTAGAGCATATTCTTACTGTCACTGTGATATTTTCTGAAAAATCCCTTTGCCAGGATTTCTTCTCCTGGGAAGATGAGAAGCCCTAGCTTCTCCATGTTTTGCTGCTCTGGAATGTGATTTGGAGAATTGTTTATCCAAATATGTGAATTGTTTTTAATTCATGACCAATCACAGTCCAGCTGTGTCAGACTTTGAGGAGTCAGTCACGGGTTTTTATCATTCATTCTTGTTAAACCTTCTGATGTATCCTCTCTCTTTCTTTAGTGTAGTTTTGTATAGCTAATATAATATAATATAATATAATATAATATAATATAATATAATATAATATAATAATTTAATATAATATAATAATTTAATATAATATAATAATAAATCAGCCTTCTGAGAACATGGAGTCAGATTCTCATCTCTCACCTCGTCCTGGGGACAACCCTCACAAAGACCACATTCTTACAATTTCTCTTTTTCCTTCAGATGAAGTTCGGGCTGGCACCTTCCGGGAGCTTTTTCACCCAGAACAGCTGATCACTGGAAAGGAGGATGCAGCCAATAATTATGCCCGTGGCCACTACACCATTGGCAAGGAAAGCATTGACATGGTGCTGGATCGTGTCCGTAAGCTGGTAAGTCCCAGCAGCTCTGAAACAGCAGTTTGGGCTCTGCAGAAGAAAGAAGGGCAGAACTAACAGCTTGTTAATTGCAAATGATAGCAATGGTTCAGCAAAAAGATTGCAAGTCATACAGATGGTATTTGGACATGGTAGAGAAGAGAGAAGCCCAGTAGTTCACTTCCCAGCTGCATGCCTCCAGGCACTTTTATAAAGTGGTTATGAATATGTAATTTTTAATTATTAGCACAGCCCTACAGCACCAGTACTGATACTGAAGGGTGGAATATGCAGTTGCACATTGCTGGTTTCAGCTAGAATAACAGAGCAAAGTGAAGTTCAGAGATAGAGAAGCCTGGACAGATCCTTATAAGTTGAGACAGTGAGGAAAGCAAAGGCTGGAACTATCAGCAGCCCTTTCCCAGGAAAACCTGACATGAAATCTGTGCTGTGTACTGCCTGTGACTGCTCACTCCTTCAGCTCAGGACAAGCTCACATAGCAAAGTCTGTTCCACCTCTTTCAGTCGCTGCTGTTTCACTTTCCCTTTTGCTTTCCAGACCGATGCCTGCTCTGGGCTGCAAGGATTCCTGATCTTCCACAGCTTTGGTGGCGGTACAGGCTCTGGATTCACCTCCCTGCTGATTGAACGCCTCTCTGTGGATTACGGCAAGAAGTCCAAACTGGAGTTCGCCATCTACCCGGCCCCTCAGGTCTCCACTGCCGTGGTGGAGCCCTACAACTCCATCCTGACCACGCACACCACGCTGGAGCACTCGGACTGCGCCTTCATGGTGGACAACGAGGCCATCTACGACATCTGCCGCCGCAACCTGGACATCGAGCGCCCCACCTACACCAACCTGAACCGCCTCATCAGCCAGATCGTGTCCTCCATCACGGCCTCGCTGCGCTTCGACGGCGCCCTCAACGTGGACCTGACCGAGTTCCAGACCAACCTGGTGCCCTACCCGCGCATCCACTTCCCGCTGGTGACCTACGCGCCCATCATCTCCTGCGAGCGCGCGCACCACGAGCAGCTCTCCGTGGCTGAGATCACCAACGCCTGCTTTGAGCCCGCCAACCAGATGGTCAAGTGTGACCCTCGGCACGGCAAGTACATGGCGTGCTGCCTGCTGTACCGCGGGGACGTGGTGCCCAAGGACGTCAACGTGGCCATCGCTGCCATCAAGACCAAGAGAAGCATCCAGTTTGTCGACTGGTGCCCAACAGGCTTCAAGGTGAGTGGATTCAGTAGATATCAAGGTGAGAAGGGTTCTACTTTGTCCCACATCCAGGAGGAATGATGCATCTGACTCCATCTTATCAGAAGGCTAATGAATTACTTTATTATACCATGTTATTCCATATTATATTACATCTATACTACATCTAAACTGAATCTGCCAGCACCCAACTGCACAGCATCTCATGACTGTCACACATCTGGATCCAATTGGCCAATGAATCAAAACACTCACACCAGAATCCAATTATTAATTCCCTTCAGGTGAACAATCTTCCACAATGCATTCCGCTTGTGAACAAGCACAGGTGCAGCAAATGACATAAGAATTGTTTTGATCGTTCGTTTCTCTGCTTCTCTCCAGTTCAGAGAATGTGAATCCCACAGGGCTGCCACAAGCTTCTCTTTAGTGTTGAAAGGGGAGGTTCAGTCCAGCGGAAAACTTGTATTTTTAAAGTTTTCCAATAGAAAACTTGTATTTAAAGTATCTAATCTATTTCTCCTATTTCCCCCAGAACATGGGGTGTGGGGATACCGCAGTCATCAGTTTCTCTGGGTCTAGATTGAAGGCACTTGAGACAGTAATTCATGTTGGGACTCATGTGTTGGTTATTTCTTATCAGTAAAACAGTGCTGCTGAACTGTGAGTTCAGCAGCACAAAATGGCCAACAATCTCTTGTTACAAGGTCTTTTAAGACTAAACTATCCAATTAAGAACTGACACCTGGATTATTTTCCCTTTTAACCCAATAACTGATCCCAAAGAGCCCCCAATGCAGACTTTTCTGCCCAATTACAAAATGCCACCCAAACCCATGAAGAAGGAAGAAGAAGCATGAAGAAGAAACCCAGGACAACCCCCTGTGTCCTCCACCTTGCTTCCATCCACAACATACTGAAAATCCCAAAACCTCAATTTCTCACCAAGTGATACATCTACACTGCTCTCTATAATCCATTTCACACTTTTGTGGATTCCACTCTATTCTGGAGTTCAGGAAACTTTCTCTATGAATGAGGGTCACAGTCAGTGCTGCCCTGGGGGTCAGGGCACCCCAGAGCAGACACAGAAATATTCCAATGCCCTGGGTTTCCACAATGGGGGAATATAGATATTTCCCAATGAATGTAAGAAGGATGCATTTATATAAAATGTGCCTTTTCTCCTTTGGACATCCCATTGACACAGGCTCTTACATATTTAAATAAGTGGAAATTAGAAGTGTGTATGGGTTAAAATGGAAAGAAGTTTTAATTTCAGATCTGACCTTTGAAACAGCCAATGAACATTGCCTCTGAGGCACAATCTAAAATTGAGGAAATACCAAAGTTGATAAAATTAATACAAGAAGGAAACACTCATATTAGGGAATCTCTTAGTTAACCTAGAAATATTATACACCCTCTCCCCACTGCTTACACAGCAGTGTCTGGAAATACATTTTCTACATTAATACAGACATTAACAGCGGAAAAGCATTTGTCATACAAGCAGCTCATTCAGCAATGAAAACTCCCAACTGGGAACCAAGTTTTTATGTTAGTTTCTACAGAGTATCTTGGTGAAACTCTATGTTCAGTACTGAGTAGCTGTTAAGAAAGCTACAAACTTATCAGTGTGCATTAATGTCACAGACATATTTTCTGAAAAATCCATTTGCCAGGATTTTTTCTCCTGAGAAGCTGAGAAGACTCAGGAACGAAATATAAACAATAATTATCTGCTGCTGTGGAATGCAACAGGTGCATCTGGGATTGGTCTCATGTGGCTGTTTTTAATTAATGGCCAATACAGTCCAGCTGTCTCGGACTCTGGTCAGTCAAAAGATTTTATTATCATTCCTTTCTTTTCTTTGCTAGTCTTCTGATGAAATCCTTTCTTCTATTCTTTTAGTCTATAGCATAGTGTATATATATAGTATAGTATATATAGTATAGTATATATAGTATATAGTTTTAATATATAAAAATATAAAAAATAATATACATATAATAAAATAATAATATATATAATAAAATTATATATATAATAAAAATATATATATAATAGATATCATAAAATAAATAAAAAAATAAATCAGCATGGAGTCAAGATTCTTATCTCTTCCATCGTCCTGGGACCCCTGAGAACACCACCACACATTAAACAGTAGAATAGTATAGATATTAGAGTGAGTAAATAGATATTAGAGTGAGTTTTATGCTCTTTGACATTTGTGATGGCATTTGCCACCTGGCACCACTCTACCCCAGCATTTTCACTTACCTTTCTTCAGCTCTTTGGCTGCCTCCTGTTCCTGCTGTTAGGAAATAAATTGTACATATAAATAAGTGGTTCAGCCTTTTCTCCCATCCCTGTTTCCAGGTTGGGATCAACTACCAGCCCCCTACGGTTGTCCCTGGAGGGGACCTGGCGCAGGTGCAGCGGGCAGTGTGCATGCTGAGCAACACCACGGCCATCGCCGAGGCCTGGGCGCGGCTGGACCACAAGTTCGACCTGATGTACGCCAAGAGAGCCTTCGTGCACTGGTACGTGGGAGAAGGCATGGAGGAGGGAGAGTTTGCAGAGGCCAGGGAGGACCTGGCTGCCCTGGAGAAGGACTATGAAGAAGTGGGAACTGACTCGTTCGAAGAAGAGAATGATGGGGAGTAATTAAAAAATACATTTTGTCTCTGTATCGCTGTATGGCATGTGTCAACAATCAGCTCAGCTTTTCTATACCTTGTAAACGTAAATTAGGAGAGGACATTTTTTATTAATTATCCTGTAAGATACCATCAGCTGTAGTCTGGGGTCCCTGGGGCACACTAGGGAGGCACTGGGGGGGGCACTTGAGAGGGACTAGAGGCACTGGGATGGGATTGGGAAGATGAAATCCAAAAGAGAATCAAAAAGGATCTTCCCTGAGCTGCTCCACCTGCTCAGGTGTGCTGCTCCCCTCTCTGCACGGCCCTGGGACTCAGGGATTGTCCCTTTGCACACCTGAGCAATGCCCCAGGAGCACCCAGGTGTGCCCCCTGCCCTGCAGATGCTGTCACTGCTGTCCTTTGGGAGATTCCTGGGGATCACCCCCTCCAGCAGGTACAGGAACCTGCCTGAAAGCAGCCCTGAGCAGGGCCGGGCCCTCCTCATCCTCCCTGACCACACCAGGGGCTGCTTCAACCCCTCCTCATCCTCACTGACCACACCAGGGGCAGCTTCACCTCCTCCTCATCCTTACTGACCACACCTAGGGCTGCCCTGACCCTCCTCATCCTCACTGACCACAACTGGGGCTGCTTCACTTCCTCCTCATCCTCACTGACCACAACTAGGGCTGCCCTGACCCTCCTCATCCTCACTGACCACCGCGGGGCTGCCCTGGACACGGATTTCCGCAGGGATTTCACTGAATCCCGCTCTGAGCCTCACTCACCAAGGCGAGCAAACCTCGCCGCTTTTCACGTTAAACCTGAGGCTGCCTGAGGGAAGAAAACCAGAACCGATCCATCGGGATGGCAGCGGCCCAAAGTTACCGGGATGGGGCACCGCGGAAAACCCGGACTAGATTTGCACAGAATACGGAATGGGGGAAAACCCGGACTGGATTTTTTTCCTTGGAACACAGAATGGAAAAAAATCTGGACAGGAATTTTCCCAGAATATGGAATGGGGAAAAACCCAGACTGGATTTTTGCTCCAGAATATGGAACAGGGAAAAACCCGGACTGGATTTACCTGGTATATGGAATAGGGGAAAACCCAGACTGGATTTACCTGGAATGCGGAATGGGGGGAAACCTGGACTGGATTTTTTTTTTTTCCCAGAATACAGAATGGGGAAAAACCTGAACTGGATTTACCTGAAATATGGAATGGGGGAAAACCCAGACTGGATATTTTTCCCCAGAATACAGAATGGGGAAAAACCTGGACTGGATTTTTTTCCTGGAATACGGAATGGGGGAAAACCCAGACTGAATTCTCCTGGAATATGGAATGGGGGGAAACCCAGACTGGATTTTTTTCCCCAGAATACAGAATGGAGAAAAAATATGGACAGGATTTCCCCCAGAATATGGAATGGAGAAAAACTTGGACAGGATTTTTTCCCCAGAATATGGAATGGGGGAAAACCAGGACTGGATTTTCCTGGAATATGGAATGGGTGAAAACCTGGAGTGGATTTCCCTGGAATATGGAATGGGGAAAACCCTGAAATAGATCATCTCAGAACATCAAATAGGGGAACCTGGACTGGATTTTCCCAGAAAAGGGAATGGGGGGAAAGATGGGGGAAAACATGGTTTGATCCCAGTCTTCTGTAGAGAAGTGTTAAACAGAAACCATGTTCCTAAACCACGCAAACCAAATTGTTCCAGCAGTGTGTGCTGCTCAAACACTCAACCATCACTGGAGCTGCCCCGGTTCTGTAAGAGACCGGCTGTTGGTGCTCATGGCTTGAACCATCACTGGGTGCTGCTCCAGTGATGCTTGGAGGGGCCTCCCAAGTGCAGAAGGATGTGTGCACCTGAGGCTTCAGCCTGGGTTTGCAGATAAAGAAGGGAATGATAAGAGGCAATCCTGCCAGGTGGGATAAGTCCTTGTCATGCCCCCCTTACACAATGACTCAGTACTCTCCAAGTACTGGGGCAGTCACATCTCAGATGAGGCAATTCATGTTGGCTGATTTGACATAACACTGGATGTGGATTTCTTAACTTCCTGAAGGCTTTTTAGATCTCATCCTGACCACCAACATTACACTTCATTTTATTTGCAAGAACACTCAGTAATTTGGAGTCCTGCTCTTGAAGCAGTTAATGCATTTTTGGAGCTATTTGGACATTAGGAGTGCCGTGGCAATTATTAGCAGCTGGCAGCTTTTGTCCAAGGGGTGGGCAGTGTGTTTGGACACTCAAACACTGCTGCCTTTCAGTTTGAGTTTCCCTTCATCTGAGCCCATTTTCTGAGCTCTGCCTGCTGCCTGCTTTGGAAGGGCCATGTCATGACTGAGTTCTGCAGGCAAAGCTTAAAACATTCTTAAGATGTAATACTCCTCCTAACTGAGGGCCCAGGCTCTCACAGGGGTCATCACCAGAAGCTGTTTCAACTGCACACTGCTTCAGCAACTTCCACCTGGCTGATCTAGCTCCTGTTCAACCTCCAGTGTCCTTTTGCACTTTGCTCAGGTGGTTTCGTTCTCTCTGGGCAGTTTATGGCTTACAGGTTCTCCTCTCTCCCTTCCTTCCTTCTACCGGCCAGTCGCCACACAAGCCAGTAATAGAAAGGGAACATCACTAAATTTAAACTATTGCTGAGAACCTCTGCCACAAGGCAAGACACTGAGTTATTTGTGAAACTGAAACTTCTGAGCCCTTGTGCTCAGAAGTCCCTACAGATACCCACATCCCCTCTGTGACGATTCAGGGCAATTTTCACTGTCCCTGTGCCTCGACTGAAGACCTGCTAAGAACTGAAGAGTTGTCCTGGCTCCGACAGAGCAGTGTGAGCAGAGGGTTTGCAGCTGGAATCCCTCCACAAGGACAGCTCTGATGGGCTCCAGATGACCCCTGTGAAATCCTCCCGTGCATGTTTCCTCCCCACGGCTCAGTGGGGCTGCACAGAGGTCCCTGACACAGGGCTGGGAGCGCAGCTGTGCGCGGACAGCTCAGCCTCACAACGCTTCCCCCAGCGATTTGCATGGAGGGACAAAGAACCAGCAGTGAAAACCCCTGGGTCCCTTTCTCCCAGCCCCCTCCGTGCCTGCCGGGAGGCGGCGCAGGGCGGCTCCGAGTTTCACTTTCTGTGTCTGCTCCCGGCCGAGCGGGAAATGAAAACTGAGCGGCTCCGAGAGCGGGGCGGGCGCTGCCGCTGCCTGACGCTCCGGGGCCGCCCCGCTCCGCTCCGCCCGCAGCCCTGCCGGATCCCTCAGCCCTGCCGGATCCCTCAGCCCTGCCGGATCCCGCATCCCTTCCCAATCCCGCATCCCTTCCCAATCCCGCATCCCTCCCGGATCCCGCATCCCTGCGCTCCCCCGGATGCGCGCTCCCTCCGGTGCGCCGTGCGGTGCCGCCCCGTGTCAGCGGGAGCGCTGAGAGCGTGGATCGGTAAGAAAGCTTTTTGCTGCTTTGTGAGATTGGATGCTGGAGGCGCAGTGTGTCAGGAGGGGAGGAAATAGAGAGGGAATAATAACGGAGTAGTTTGGCAGCTAAGTGGGAAGTTCTCCTTGCAGTCGCATCCCGTTGAAGTTGGAGGTGATGCGCTCTTAGGTGCTTCCTTCCCCTCGAGGGTGGTCGTCACGCTGAGTCTCTGCTGCAGCCAGCGCGGACCATGGAAACACAGAATAATTTGGGTTGGACTTGGAAACCATCTAATTCCAGCCCCCGTGCTGAGGGCAGGGACACCTTCCACGAGAATGGATTGCTCAGAGCCGCCTGGTGTCCCTGCTGCAGCCACTGCCTGCCTTGGCATCATCATCGGCACCCCAGGATCCCCGGGAGGGAAAGGAGCTGGCAGGGAAGGGACAAGGGCCGGAGAGGGAACCCTTTTCGGGCACAGTGAAGGGACATTTTGGGGCTTGTCGTGAGAATCCAGAGTCTTGGGCGGGCAGATGGAGACTGGAGCAGGGCAGGGAGAAAGAGAGGACACTGGGCTGGCTGAGCGAGAGGAGTATGAAGGTTGTGATGATGATGATGATGATGATGAGCTGCAGGGTACGAGGAGGGTATCACTGTTCTCTGCCCAGTGCTGGTGCCAGCTGGGGCACTGAGGTACCAATCCCACCCCTGACCTGCAAAGGAAACCAAAGCAACGCTGCTGCTCCAGGGAGAGAGGAGAAATGGGGATCAGGAGGAGAGCCTGCTGCTCAGTTCCTTGCCTCACTCACCTGTTGTTTTTTGTACCTGTGCAGGGAAAAGGAGGTCAAGTGCAAGCCTTAGGAAGGCTGTATTTCTGAAAGCCAAAACAAGGAGGTTCCAAGGGTTGGGAAGTTCTGTTTGTGTCCTTGCTCCCACAACAGGATCCCCAATATTGGTGACTGGGAGAAAATTTCATGGAACCAGAGACACAAATCCTCTTGTATCCCTCTGCACCTTCCTGTCCCAAGATCCCTAAGATCTTTCTACCTTTTCCTCAAAGACATCCAGCCCTGTTCTTGCTCTTTAATGCCACTCTTAGTCCTCCCTTTCCTGTCAAAACCTGTGTATTGCATGTTTTCCTTATCCCTAGCTATGTTTAGCTACCTCTGCGCTGCCTGCCCTTCTCCTTTCTGTCTCTTTCAACATCCCCACTGCCTGGGAGCATCCCTGACCTCCTGGCTGGTTCTACACCAGCTAAACCCAGCTCAGCTTTCAGAAACCTGAATGTGCCATTAAATCGTCTCCAGGAAAACAGGCAGTCAGTGTTCAGGCTCTGTTTTGGCAAGAGAGAAATCAGATTAAATTTATCTTTTCCTGTGTAGATGTTCTATTCACCATGTTTGGGTATAAAAGGTAATGCTCTTGAATCTGTCTTTGAGAGTTTGGGATTTTTCCCTCCAAAAAACTTCTCAGCAAATTCGACAATATTTGGTGAATCTTAATGTGTGACACTTAGAGATCAAAAGTAATCTTCTAAAGTAAACAATCAAAAGTAAAGTTGGAAATAAGTATATTTAAGCTTAAAGGTAATAA